GACCTGCAATGATCCGAGATACATGACACAAATATTATATATATATATATATATATATATAAAGTATTAAAGTTGATGTTCGAACGTGTACTACATTGATTGGATATAAAGAGAAGAGTTACAAGATATTAGGTTCTAGCAAGCTCTCATTTTGCCTGAAAATAAAAAAATAGTATTAAAGTTCAATGTGATACCATCATTTGTTTATACTCACAAGTGTCAGTATACTCACAATTGGACAAATTAAAATAAGAACTACTCAGAAATTTTCCCAAAATTCTCTCAAGCACAATCGCCCGTTTACACCTTTCTATCCTCCATCTCCAAATTTTTGTCCCTCGACTCCTATCACCTGACTACAGTTGCCCGACTTCCTTCTATAACTTTGTAATCTTTAGTCAAACTATTTTTTTTCTTACAAAATTTAGTATATGAGATTATGAGTATATATGTTCTGATATTTGTGATTTTCAATGATAACAGAAGATATGGTTATTTTATAAATATGAAATTATAGTTTAAAAATAGATCAAAACAATCCAATATTAAAGTGTCACAAAGAAATTTTTTCATCTAATTTGAATCTCGATACAATTATATAAGAAATCTTCCAAATCTAAATTCAAGATCATATAGGGCCCTAGGTTCAACAACTTTGTAGTTAAACTGACGATCTCAACAAGAGGAACCAAATGATTTCAAAGTTGGGTCAATTCATGTTTAATCAAGCACAAATCAAGCAATTGAAGCATAGTTAAAGTTTTTAGATCTCTAATTGAATAGTCAAATGAACTCCAAATTTGATATATTTATAGTCAAATCAAGCATCTCGATGAGAGGAATCCAACGAGTCTAAGATCACTCAATTCTGAGGTTATTAAGATAGTCCAAACAAAAAAAAACTTATAAGTAGTCCCCTCTCTCCACTTAAGGGAAAAATCTGGAGAAGAGACGACAAGAAGAAGAGGAGTTCTGGAGCCCATTCTGAGAAAAGCCTCAATGACTTCGTAACGGTCAACCATCGTTGACTAATACATTTCAGTTGCCATCGAACATTGTCGTCCTTTACTACGTGCCACCAACGAAACTTATTTGCAAACAACGTAGTCCAAATACAACCATTGCGCCTACACTTGTATTTAAGACCCAGCAAGTAACCACTGGCCTCTATAGCTTTCAACCACAATTAATCATTGCCCGTCAGCCACAATCACCACCACCAATGAACACCGTCCACACCCACCCGCCATCGGCTATTGGCGATCCCTATTTGCAAATGTTTTAGTCTTAATATGAGCCATGTGCCTAACATATGTATTGAATATTTGATGATAACTACCAGCATCAGCAGCCACCAACAACAACATAGATCACCACTCGTCACCATTGTCGACCACCATCGTCAACCACCAACCACCGGCGACCCTTGTTTGCAAACACCGTAGTCCAAAGATGATCGTTGAAACTAATATTTGTATCAAAGATTCGACGATAACCATCAATATTCGTACTCGCCAATCACAATTGAATTAAGCCAATCAGTGGACATCGACCATTGCTAGCTGTCATTCTTTGTTGTCACTGACAACCCTTATTTGCAGACTTAGTTTGAAAACCATTGTTGTGTCTAACACTATTAGTAAAGAATCAATGAGTAAACATCAACCTTTGTAATCGCTAACTGCCATCGACCACCACCCTTCTTCCACCTTCGACAACTATTGGCCATCACCGCCTACCACGCCCACTACCAGCCATTGACTACTACTATTTGCAAATGTCATAGTTTGAAAACAACCATTGTGTCTAACACCTATATTGAAGTTCCAATGAATATCCACCAGCCCTCCGTACCACCTATCATCATTGACTACCACCGTCAACCATCATCAACCATTACCGACAGTCACCGCCTTTAGCCACTAACCACTGATCGCTGAAGACCACTACTTAACTTCAATGCTTTAGTTATATTCTCTTTTGAAACCTTAGTTTCATTCATCGTTGTTGCAATCATGTTACCCTTAATCGTGTTCATGATTTTCTGCTCAATCTTGTATGATCACTTCAGTTTAACATCATCTATCATCATAATCTTCTTTGAACTTCTTCATTGAAACCTTTATTTAAAGAACCTTTTTAAGGATCATACTTTATTTTCTAGACATATAATGAACTCTTAAGCTCACAAATTATCAAAACCTTAATTTTTTTTTTATTTCAACATCCTTTACAATGTATTTCTGCCTTACTTCCATGAAAAGTAATTTTTTTTCTAATATTTAAATGCATTTCAAAATTTTATCACCCATTTATTTAGAGATAGCCAATAGTCTTGTTAAATGGTCCAACATTTTTTGAAATCTTCATTTATAGGGCTTAAAAATCACCTCAAAGAGCTTGGAGGTGGTGTAGATTTTAACATGTTTTGTGTAAAAATAAGCAGCATAATGATGAGAACATATTTTCTCGTAGAGACTAAACACAACCCAAAATTGCTAATTAATAATATATGTATATTAGTTTTGGTATTAAGAAAACTTTATAAAATAGGATGAACCGTAAGAAAATTAAATAAAAAGAAAATTTTGAAGCTGGTTTTTGTTGCGAATGTAGAAACCGGTTCACTGCTCAAATTGACATTTTCTCATGTTTGACACCAAATTGGATTTTATACTCGAAATTAATTGTTAAATTAATTATTATTAATTTCTTCTATGATTTGCTGCAGAAGAGAAAAATAAATAATTAATGAGTTTCATTAATTATTTGATTAATTTCTTAATGTGTCTAATGACATGTTAGAATTAATAAATATGCATGCTAACTCCCTTTGTTATCTCTCTCGAGATTTGGTTTCCCAGACATCTCTCTTCGGCATTAGTAGCTTTCCAAGTTCTTCTTCTGGTGTGCTTCGATTTGGTAGAGAGAGAGAAGGCGAGGAGAGATAAGAGAGAGAAATTCTTTCTTGTGATCGTCGACGTGATCGATGGGTGATTCCTCGAAGTAATAAAATCCTCTGCAGCTCCGAAGACGTAAGCAATTTGCCGAACCACGCAAATCTGTGTTTCCGCTGTGTTTTTTCTTTTGTGATTTTTCTCGATACGGTTTTTCGCTTTAGTTTCATCGTTTTTCACAACAGTTTTGATGATTTTCTGTGTAAAATTTTATTAACAATAAGACTACAAAGGAGTGATGAAAGGCCAATGTATATCAAAAACATAACTTGTGCAAACGAAAAATCCTAAAGGACCTCACCGTCCAATTAAGCTCAGCATGTGCATTAGTGATTACAATCAAGTAATCCAAAAAGTGAAGCAAAAAAGGAGATAAGAAATAAATTTGGAGGAAATACCCTAAATCCAACATTGTAATCAATGAAGCATATACGGATTGTAGCCAAAACTTATACTGATGCTAATTAAGCCATAAGCCTATAATCCCACGGCCCCATCAACAATTCATTTAAATGTGTTTATCCAAGTTACATAATTAGTTATCCAAAATTGAAAATGTTTAATTAATGGAATAATCTCAAACAGAGTTCACGTCATATAAACATATGTCCATCACAGATTAAGAGATGTTGGTCTTTTAATTATAATCTAAATTTAAGAATCTCATTCATGATTATGAGAATTTACCAAATCAATTTAATTAATGGTTAATAAACCAAACTAAATTAAGCATAAGATAAAGTAGAAATCAAATTTAGGATGAATTATAAATAATAAAGAAGTGATTAGCAATCAAATTTTATATTAAGGTTGTCTTATGCCTATAAAAAGGCTTAATTCATAAATCATATACAATTTTTTAAATGCCATCAACACAAGAAATTTAAAAAGAAAAACAAAAATTGTAATTGAATCATCGCTTCCTATTTATTCGTAGTTGAGCCAACATATATCACTTTTTCAACTTTCTCCTCAAAATTTTTCTTTGCTCAAGATCGACAAAAAGAAAACTACCCCTTTAGAAACACAGAGTAGTCATCTTTAAAGGCCAAAATGGCACAAGCAAAACAAAGAAGTTTTCATAAACTAAATTTGATACCATAACATCCATGTGCTAGGGAGGTAGCATGAGGCACAGTTTGTTTAGTAATTACTACCATAATATAGTGCCTAGACATCATGTTGAGGCAAAATTAGTTCATCATTCATTTTTGATAGCTCTATATCCCATCGCATGGGTGTCTAGTGCTTCACGTATATAACCTTTAGATACTAAAACAATCACTACATGAAAAAGCATTATAACTGACACCAAAACCAATGACTCAGATTTTCGTCAATAATAATATCCTATTGGTTTTACAACAGCTTATGTGTTGAGTAATTTTCGATGGTATAATAACAATACGTACCATCGATTATGAATAGTAGATTATTTTTTAAAGGTTTTAATTATAACCAATGCAATGCACCGTTGATTATAAGCATATAATAACAAACGACCACATGCCGTTAGTTATTTATGAACCCACCATTTAGAAGGACGTTAACCGACGAGCTTTTTTAGTAACCAACAGTTAATGTCATCGGTATTAATGTTAATAATTGACGGATTTGAAGTCATTTATAAGCCTTTAGAAAGAATCCTTTATACTGTTGAAATTCGTTACACCCTCGAACTTGCCCTAATCCTCTAACCTCTCTCGGTCTCTCCCTCTCCCTCATGCCCTAACCCTCTCCTCCCCTCCCCTCTCCCGATGACCCCATCTCTGGTGACTCCATCTTCGGCGACTCACCCGCTCTGACGCTCAAAGGTTTGGTTGGATGCTCTTAATGAACATTGAAATGAGGATGTACCTTGAGCTCCTTAGATATCTCAAGTATAGTTTTCTAGGTGATAGTGATGGCTATTAGCAAATTTAATTTAGTAGGTTAAAGTGGAGGAGTATTTTGGGACTATTGTGTGATAGAAAAGTACTAGTTAGACTGAAAGAAATTTTAGAAGATGGTGGTAAGACCTGCAATGATCTATGACACAAAATGTTATCCTTTAAAAGAGAAGTATAAAAGCAAGTGTTGTCGAGATGAGAATGCTTAGGTGGGTGAGCGGCTTTACACTTAGAGATAAAATGTGAAGTGAATATGTGAAAGGGTTATTGTAGCTCCTGCGGTGGACAAAGTTAGAGAGAGTTGTCTTAGATGGTTTGATCACGTTAAATGTCGACCATCTGATGTTCCGGTTAGAAGAGTAGATGCTTTAGATTCGATTATGTTAAGAAAGGCAGAGGCATACCAAGAAAGACTTTGACATATTAAATAAAAAATGATCTTAATTTATTAGAATCAAATGAAGACCAAGAAAGACTTTGACATATTGAATAAAAAATGATCTTAGTTTATTACAGTCAAATGAAATTATGACACTCAATTTGACGCATTTGAGAAAAAATATTCATGTAGCCTATCACACTCAGTAGGATAAAGGCCTGTTATTGGTGGTGAGACCTATAAAGTCTGCGTAGAATGTTAACCTTTAAAAGAGAAGAATAAATTTAAGTTAAGTGATCTTGAGATGAGAATGCTAAGATAGAAGAGTGGTTTTACACTTAGAGACAAAATGTGAAATGTGTATAGCTGTAATAGGGTTGGTTTAGCTCTTATGTCGGACAAAATTAGAGAGACTCGTCTTAGATGGTTTGGTCACATTAAACATCAACCATGTGATGAACCGATTGTGAGAGTAGTTATTTTAGATTCAACTTATGTTAAGAAAGGCAGATGTAGACCACCTACAAAGACTTGGGCACATTGTATAAAAAATGTCTTAATTTATTAGAATTAAATGAAGATATAACACTCAATATGACATAATGGAGAAAAAGGATTCATATAGCTGAACCCACTTAGTGGGTTAAATGCTTATTGTTGTTGGTGGTGAGACCTGCAATGTTTTATGACACAAAATATTGGTCTTAAAAGAGAAGAATAAAATTAAGTGATGTTGAAATGAGAATGCTTAAGTAGAAGAGTGTCTTTAGAAAAAATACGAAATGCATATATTCGTGATAAGGTTGGCGTAGCATTTATGGCCGACAAAATTAGAAAGACTCATCTGATGAACCGACTAAGAGAGTAGTTATTTTATATTCAACATATGTTAAGAAAGGCAGATGTAGACCACCAACAAAGACTTGAGCATATTGTATAAAAGATGATCTTAATTTATTAGAATTGAATGAAAATATGAATCTCAATAGCATGTAATGGAGAAAAGGATTTATGTAGCCGACCCCACTTAGTGAGATAAATGCTTGTTGTTGTAATTGTTGTTCTAGAGAAGCAGAACCTTGTGAGATTTAGTAAATCCTATTAAAGTCACCAAACACTTTCTCCAGATTCACCAAAACTTACTTATTAACATAGCACTTATGAACTTACTTATTAACATAGCACTTATGTAAGATTTACACCAAAACTTACTTATTAACATAGCACTTATGTAAGATTTAAGCTAAATCATGTCAAATGTTCCAACAGGTTCATAAATCTTGTTTTTGCTTGGTTTTGCCTAAAATCCAGGATTTACCAAAAGTGGTAGGAAGCTACATTTATAGAATTTAGAGAGGTTGAAGCTTGTGGGATAAATTCGTTTCAGCAAACTAATAAGTTGATTTAGTGGATTTAACAAACGAACTAAAATAATCCCTCGTAAATTAATTTTGGATTGAACATTTTTAAATCGACCTCTGAGCTAATCAAAATCGGATCATTTAACATCAAATTGATGCTAGGTATGTCGAAGAGCATAAATACATTAAGACATTGTTTTCTACTTTTATGTATTTATTTTATGAATCTAACAATTTATACAACCTCTGGAGGGAGGCTATCGACTAGAAGAAGGGCAGGGTCTACGGGTTGGGGTCTCAGGAGCCGATCTATGCTGCCTGCCCGACCTCTAGCACATCTTGTGCATTCAATTCCACTTCACAGGGGGAGGAGATGCATCGCTGCGTTGCTGCTGAGGTTGTTGCCCAGGTAGCCACCTTGAGATCAGAGATGAGGGCCGAGATTAAAGTATTGTGTTTGGAACTGCAGAAACGGAAGAAGCGAATGCGAGATGAGGGTTGGGATTATGATGATGAGGAGATGACACAGATGATGAGGAGGATGAGTAGAGGTTATTTTTGTATTTGGTTGTGTACTGAATAATTATTATTAGCAAACATTAGTTTTATTGTGCCATTGTATATAATATAATATACATACATACACACACACACACATATATATATATATATAGTAGAGGTTTTTGACGGCTTACCGACGGTCTATCGATCAAGCAACAGTTTTTCGATGGTTTGTTGAGCAAGCAACGTCTGGGTAAAGTGCTGCACTTTCGCTACGGACTGAGCCGTCGCTAAATTCCCCAGTTAACCGATGGTTTGACTGTAATTTACCTACATAACTGTGACGCTTTTTCGACGGAACTACAACACTTTTCCTACGGACGTTTTCGGCGGTTATATAACTGACGGTCAAGCTACAGTTAAATATGACATGTTTTTTAATCTATAATGATGGTTATCATGCGTCGGTTAACCGTAGTTAAATTCGTCGGTAAATGAATTACCGACAAGTGTTTTTGCTACGTCAACTTTGTCGTAGCTAATCTGTCGGTAAATATATTTCCTACACGATATTTGTAATAAACTAAATTCCTGTAAAGCACTAAAATATGACGCCTAACTGCCAAAATATATATATGGTACATTTGCTAGTCAGTCATTGTCTCCACCGAATGCTAGTCATCATATTGTTTAACAAAACATAGCTCCAAACCATGCATCATCTTATATCCCTAAACTCACTTAAATTATAAGAAAGCAAAAAGTCACATATAAAAACTCACAATAGCTCCATCACATACTATAATATAACAAAATTTGATAGATAGAACCCACTCTTAAAGAGGAGAACCCTCTTCATCTTCTTCTCTACTTTGTAAGCATTTTAGTGAATTTCAAGTTCTAGCATATATAGAGGTTAATGCAAACTCATTTATCTTCTAATAGATGCCACTCAAATTGCTTTCCTTACTTTTGTTGAGTGAAGAGGTGGTATCCACTCAAAACCTTTATTAAGTTGCTTCAATTCTAATAATTATTTAGTAAAATGCTGCAATGTCATTTGATAGAGATGAGGATAAATAGAACAACTAACACAAGATTGATAAGAAAATAAAAATAAAATTTAGAAAATTATTTAGAGTCAAATAAGTTGACTTGTCAATACAAAGCGTTCCCATGAGTATATATACATATATCATATATAGACGTCAAGGATATTCCTAGATATATACAAGACTAAATGCAGAGCTATGTCACAATTATCCCACATTCACATATATGACAATATGCTTATAATTTTATATATATTATGCGTATTTGATCCATCATAATACATTAATAAATAAATAAATAATTGAACTTTAGCACTCTATTTGACCTTTAGAATTCTGAAACTAAGATATTAACTTATGTCTAAATAGTAATCTTTTTAACTTATTGAATTAATCACAAATTGTAAAAACTAATTAAACTTAAAAATAACTAAAGATTTCTCATGTTTTTTTTTAAAATGACTAAAAATAAACTAATATAATATAATATAATAGCAATAATAATAATAATAATAATTATTATTATTATTATTATTATTATTATTATAACAATAAATGTGAATCTAAATCATTTTTTAAGCGCTAAACTCCAAGGTTTTTAAAATAAATTAAAAATACTTTGTAAGAAGAACTGAGCTTGTAATTTCTAAATAAACAAGGATACGAAAGAGCATTATCCAGTGATCATATTCTCGAACAAGATGGCTCACAGTTTCCAAAAACTAAGCATTTATTAATTTTCTATAAAGAGACTACAAGCATTGGCATCTAACTTGTGCTCAACAGATGACAATATTGAAGAAAATGAGGACATATATGCAAACATAGGAAAAAAAAATGAATTAACATAATTTAAGAAAAATAATTAATCTAATCAATATCACCTAAAAATATATAAAAGAAAAAGTTGAGAACAGGGGCAGCAATATAAATTAGCAATCATTAAAATCATTATATTCTTCTTTGTTCATTCCTTCCCAAGCAAAAGTAGTTCAATAAAATCCATAAAATTAAGAAAAAAAGCCCCAAAAATATTATTTCCTAATGACATTAAAACAGACAAGCTAAGAATCTCAACCTTCTCCATGTAATTTATTCCCTAATTGGATCTTAACCACTTAACAAGCCTTAAATTCTTCCTTCCCCTCTCATCTTCTTTTCCTCAAGTGGCTCCTACTCCAAGAAAATCTATGAAAGTTGGTGAAGGAGTGATGGATCTTTCACTATATCCATGGCTTCCATCCCTTCTATTTACCTCAACTCCAGTAGAATGCCCAGCTGTATCTCCTGAACAAGATGATGAAACCATTGAGGAATTGTAGGGTAGAGCTCCAGATGATTGATGCATTGCAAACAAAATAGATGCTTGATGGGTATAAGACTTCATCTCATGATCGTTCAGCCTGAACATATCTGTCCTCTCTTGATCTCTGTGGCCTGCAAAAAGTTTTGCGTGAGCTTCTAAAACTTATGATTGCTTTCCATTAATTTAATGCCAAGCAAAGTTATGAACTTTTCTTATAGGTTTTATAAGAATAGATTCAGTCGTAGGCTAGAGCTTGCCTTACAGTTTTTCATGCCATTTTAAGCCAGTTTCACATGGATATCAATGGCGAAATATTAAAAATATTTATATATATGCCACGCTAGTCTATATTTGTTGAGAAAAAATGTTTAGATATATAGAAACGAGAAAAGACCACACAAGAGCAACAGAGGGGGTTCACATGTACTGTGTATTCAATGTTGCAGATGGAACAATATATGCACGTAATTTTATGTCAGAGTGGCAAGGCCAAGTCAGAGATATCAAAAAATTCACAACCAGAGTAGAACCAATAAGAAGAGACAAGAAAATTATGGCAGTATTAAAGTAATGGCAGATGGATACAGTACTGGTAGAAATAAAAGAGAAGATATGTTGCAAGAGAAGAAAGTTAACATACCAGAAATTATGCAATCAGAGGGCTTTTGCCTTAAGGAGGCCATTCCACCATTCGGTATGAGATGAGGAGGGCTTGAACCAACAATGGAAGAAGGAAAATGGAAGGGAGGAAGAGGTCTAGAAGATGCAGTGATTTCTTCAAGCCTTAAGTGCATGGCTTGGTTTAGTTTCCTCCTCCTGTGAGCAGAGGACTGCTCCCTGTACTTCCTGGCCATGATTACATGCCAGTGATTCTTAACTGCATTATCAGTTCTACCTGGAAAGACCCTTGCAATCATAGCCCATTTGTTGCCATAAAGTCTGTGAGCAGCCATGAGTTTCTCTTCTTCTTCTTCAGTGAAAGCACTTCTGTTAATCCTTGGATCCAGTTGATTGAACCATCTAAGCCGGCAGCTTTTTCCTGTATAGAAAACAAAAATAAAAACCTAAGTCACAAAACAAAATGAATTGATAACTAGTGTGATTTAATAAAAAAGAACCTGATCTTCCTTCAAGCTTCTCTGCTATGAGATTCCAGTTCTGTGGACCATACATGGAAACAAGTTCTTTAAGCTTGGAGTCCTCCGCTGGTCTCCAGTGACCTCTTGCAGTGAGCTTAGACTGCCCACTGCTGTCCGTTGTGTTCTCACCTCCTCCATCTCTGCTGATTTCCTCCTCTGCAACTGAAATGATGTGCTTTTCTCCGAACACTTCAGTTGTTTCAGAGCATGCAGGGAAGGGAAATGGTTTGTGTGTTGAGTGAGAGGTAGAAGGGTTAATGGAGAGGGAAATCATTTGTGAAAAAATGGATTTTGGGGAGGAAGGAGGGTGGGACATGACAAGCTGAGGTTGAGCTTGGTTGAATCTGTTTGCCATACCATGAGCAGTGCCACTGCAGTGATCCAGGGCCATGCCAAGAGGGAATGGAAAATGAGAAACGGAAGAAAAAGATGGGAGCGAAGGAGGAGAGTTTTACTCCTAATAAAAATAAAAATAAAAACCTAGGGTAGGGGAAGTCTTCTTATCTTTCACAAATCACTAGCCTGACTCTCGCCTAGCTCTTTCCATAACCTCCCATCCACCCCTATATACACGAGTCCAAATTCTTGTAACGTGTGGAGAAAATATTACATTTACTTAGCGTGAATCGTATTATATTGTGGGCTTGATGACATGGTGCTATTCACCTCATCATCTTCATATTCTTTAGTCTCTCAAATATGTCCAATAAAAAATGAAAATGAGAACTTTAATCAATATTATTGTGTTATACCTAATTTTTATCTAAGTTGGTCTAACTTAGCTCCCAAAAAGTTATGATCTCTATATCTAACTTAATCACTGTTAAAATTAAAGACATAATTAATGTTTTCTTAGTTAAAAATTAGATTAAAATATTAACAAAATGTTATAAGAAAATCAT